AGAAATGGTAATAATTTAAATCTTGCTGCAAAATCTGAATCAGCTGCCATTTCGAAGCAACAGGTAAAGATGAGATATTATCTTTATTAGATTCGTTGTTATTATTGAATATTTTTAGGGTAGAGTTTTGGATGTCCCAACTTAACTTGTATTTGTAGTTTGCTGGCACGTTGGCGTCCCCTTTCTTTTGTCCTCCAGAATGTTACATGGAAGAAAGGACAGTTTCTTTGTTTATTATTGAGCACTCGGAAGTAATTCGAGGTAGGTTTATTTTGTTTATTTGACCTTGTTTGGTTTTAAACAAGAGTTTCATATTTTTAGGGTCCAAGGTACGGACTATTTACAAGGTACGGGCATTATCCAAGGTCCTAGTAGTATCCAAGGTACGGGTAGTGTTCCCCTGTACCGTTAAAATTCAGGTCCAAGCATTAAATCTTGACCGCCCTGTATACCAGGTTCAAAAATATATCAAAATATCAAAAATATCAAAACACACAGCTGATATATCTCCGTAATATGAAACTGTCTGAGTTCTATAGACCCAAATAATAATAAATAGAAATATCAAAAATAAGAAAGAGAATAAAAATTTCAGTCTTAAATCGTACTAAGAAAACTGCAACTGTTTCCTCCCCTGTATCATGCCAAAAAAGATTAAACTACAAAAATGAATGTAAGAAAATTAATCAGGAAAATTGTCAGACTCCAGTGAAATACATTACGAGTAAAAAATACAAAACAGACTGAATAATATAGAGTGTCGAATTAAGGGCTGTTTTTATTTTCTCGAGGCCCCACGTTGGGCGCCAAATAGGGCGTAGCGTTTTTTTAATAAACATTACCACTGCGAACGGCAGCTTTTCATCGGAGAGCAGTCGTGGATAAGGTATTTCACTGGAAAGAAAATTAAGTAATATCAATAAACAAAGAAATAGATATTGGGCGCCAGGCATGTACAGAGAAAGAAAACACAGTTGTATATTACTTAAATCTAATGACTATATTTATTCAAGATGGACTGTGATGGTAAATAGCATTGTACAATTTTAATAATTATTATAGTAGTTATATGTCAACAAAAGTGGTGTTAAGAATATTACTAAATATCTATGAAAACAATACCATTACAAGACGTAATGTAATGAAACCTAAGATATAAATAATATTTTAAATATTAAATCGACATGAATGTGCTTAACAATCTAACCACTAAAAATAGTCTGTACGATATTACTTAAGATGTACGTTATTGTTTAAGACTGAAAATGTTTTTTAAATATTAAATGTAAAACTAGAACTTAAATCTACACTTAGCTGTTCTTTATGTAATCTTGCTTCAAACAGTAGCAGCGTGAGGTGGTCTCACATCTCTGTACTGTCTGTCGGCGATCCTGTTGGCCAAAACAACAAAAGGGGCCAGAATGAGGACACCATGAATCAATACAGCCGTGGCTACTGACTAGGCTTAGAAATGGGAGCGAAGCAGCATGGGGCTTATGCTGTATCCATACTGTGGTAATATGGGGACACTACCCGTACCTTGGAACACTACTAGAACCTTGGATAATGTCCGTAACCTGGGCCATAAGCTTGGACCATAACCTTGGACACAGTCCGTCCATAAGATAACGGTACAGGGGAACACTACCCGTACCTTGGATACTACTAGGACCTTGGATAATGCCCGTACCTTGTAAATAGTCCGTACCTTGGACCCTAAAAATATGAAACTCTTGTTTAAAACCAAACAGGGTCTAATAAACAAAATAAACCTACCTCGAATTACTTCCGAGGGCTCAATAAAAAACAAAGAAACTGTCCTTTCTTCCATGTAACATTCTGGAGGACAAAAGAAAAGGGACGCCAACGTGCCAGCAAAAATACAAATACAAGTTAAGTTGGGACATCCAAAACTCTACCCTAAAAATATTCAATAATAATATCGAATCTATAAAAGATAATAACTCATCTATACCAGTAGCTTCGAAATGGCAGCTGATTCAGATTTTGCAGCAAGATTTAAATTGCCATTTCTAAAAGCAGGATTTGCAACCGTGGCCATAAACAAAGTGAGGTTTAAACGCAGAGAGGCGCCTTGACATATAACAAGGATCTTGACAGCGCCCGCCTCCACAGAACAGTGAAACGATAGCAGGGTTGCCGACTAGAGAACGTAAAAATTACGCGTCAGATAAACTATCCGGCCGAGAGGGAATCCGGTGATGATAGGCCAGACATCATATATTATATATAAAAAAGTCATGTAACGAACTAAAAACGTTACAGAATAAATGATGAACTGTGGCTGACTGATCTAAATAGATATTTTAAAATAGAAAACATGGTGTTTAGTTTATGAAATCGTGCGGTTAAAACTAAACAATTGCTTAAATTTCGAGAAACGTTTAGAGAAAGAACGTATTGACTTTAAATATAAAAAATATGAAATAAAACTTTTAGAATTGTGTATATGTATAAGAACATTGACTGGGTTTTTAGTGAAATTGCACTAGACCACTTGTATATAAATGTAAGGGTAGGTTTCATTTTAACAGAATTTATATTTATTTTTAGATTTATTTTCCTTTAACTAAACGTACAAATACCTTGTAAGAAACCAATTAAATTTGGGCGCGTCTTAAAAAAAATCGACGCAATATTTTTAGATATTGACCTCCCTACAATAATGACCACGAGCCGCCACTGCTTACTAGATTTTTTGAAAAATACAAATGTCAGCTATTTTAAAAATGCTCCCTAATTCCATTACAATATACTTTAGACCAAAAGTTTTCAGATAAAAGATGTAAGTAATCATATCCTTAGTGAGATTGTGTTCTCCGTCTTTTTTTAACTGTCATATTTGACATATGACACAAAAATATGTTTTTTTAAATGAAAACCGAGATGAAAACAATAGTTGGTCATGACTTCATGAAAAGCGCCATTTTTTAAGCTTTTCAACGATATAAGCTACAATATGTTTTAATAACTACTGAGATATAGCCAATTCTTATCTTTTTGAAGCGGATTTTTTGAACATTTGTTAAAATATTTTAAAGTCTATGTAGTGAGTTAATATTATTTATTACTAATATTTTTTTTAAGATTTAATTTGTTTAATATAAATTGTAAAGAACTGCTTAATAAAATATTCTGTCTTTTTAAAAGTTATAAATCATAATAGAACAAGAATACCATACCAAGTGAAATTATTAAAAAAAGATAAGAACTGGCTATAACTCAGTAATTCTTCGAACAAAATAGTTTTATCTGAAAACTTTTTATCTAAAATAGATTATAATGGAATTAGGGAGCATTTTTGAAATGGCCGAAATTTGTTTTTTTGAAATTATCTAGTAACCCATAAACTTTTTTCAAAAATTCCGAAAGTCGGCTAGATATTCCGAAAGTCGGCTATATTTGACCTAACAAAACTGCAATTCTTTCCCCATTTAACCGATTCTCTAACTCTAATAGTTTTCGAGATATTCATAGAGAACATCGTAGAAAATTCACCCTGTATATTATGGTGATAACAAAGGACGATGTTATATCCATAAAGGTTGATGCAGAAACAAAATTAAAACCAAAATCGGTTTTTGATTAGTTTGAAATACAAGAGGTATCTGAAATTGGCAAAATTTTCAATACTTAAAATACTAAAAAATACATAAAAAAAATAAAAAACATTTTTTAATTCTCCATCTAATAAAGATATAATATACAGGGTGTTCGGTTTAAAAAAGTGAAGAAAAAATATTTTATATATTAGAAAATTTGGCATAGAATTTTGGACACCCTGTATGGTTTAAGATTATGGTTCAAATTTAAATACTCGAATGAGGTGAATGACTCTGTATATAGGGTGGTCCGGACTGTATTCCGGAAACTTCGGCAGCATATTCTGCAGATCAAAATAAGTAAAAAAACTCCGTATGTCCTAAAATGTTTAGTTTCGGAGATACAGGGTGTAGAAGTTCCAATCCATTCATGTAGAAGTTCCGTTTCCATCAATATTTGGATGAAAATTGGTATCTGGGAGTTTTTTAACATGAGAAATTTGATTTTTATGTCAATATGACCCCTACTTGTAGAGGGCGCCACCTACATATTTTTTAACTGGTTTGAAGAGTAATAACTTTTCACCCTGTATGGTTTAAGATTACGATATATATAGGAAAGTAATTACAGACCAACTGTAGTAAATATTTAGTATATTATTTCACGACTTATAAATATATTTTTAATAGAATTTTTTAAAAGGCTGAAAAAATATTTTTTTTATTCATTTACTAATATTAAAACATATTTAATAATATCTTAGAATTATGTAACACGTATATAATAAGTAAGGAATTCAAAAATGCAATAATATACAGGGTGTTCCATTTAAAAAACATCATCCCATTCCACTCACACTTTGTTGAGCTATCCTGTAGATGTTAAAATATTTTCTTGAAATATATCTTAATAGATAACTTAGGTTTGCACTTAAACAAAATTTCTAAGTTTTTTATTATAGGAGCTACAGATGCCCTACGCACTCTACGGACACCCTCGGACCTTGTATCTGTATACAGGTTGTTAACTGGACAGTTATTATAGGGGAACAGAATGGCAACATTGCCTATTGAGAACGCATGCACTTATAGCAGCTTATAGGGTTTTCTGCCGACTCGTCCCGTCGCGTCATCTGTCGACGAGCGGGCCGAGGTTGCCATATTTCAACCATAAAGCTCTTGCCGCGAGTAATAAACAAATTTACAACCTATATATGTAAAACTAGTCATAGTTTCACACTGAACTAATGTACCGTATGATCGAATAAAAACGGCGTCGGCGATGGCTATGAAATGAAGATCGCTGTCATTTTATATGGGAAATGTCAGCGATTGTCATTTCCCAGCCAACTGGACGCCGTTTTTTTTCGATCATACGGTATAACTTTATCAAATATAAATATCCAATATTCTAAATAAAAAATTTCCATGTTTTAGTTTGACGAGTCTCCTTTTCGGGCGCTCCATTTAAATTTAAAACCGATATATAAAATTAATGTAAATAAACAAGAGGGAAAAGGCTCGGGAAAAAGTAAGCCAGCAATGATAACAAGATGTTCATCTTCATTTTGTCAGTTGAAATACGAGGAAGCAAATCCGAAATCGGAAAAAGGGAAAAAGGTCAACTTTAGGGAACGTGTGATTTACAAACCAATCTGGAAATGCAATAAAACATTGAATGACATTCACCAAAAGATCCACATTGGAACAGTGGAAGGCAAGTATTTCAACACAATAGCATACTATGCCGACTGAAAAAAAAATCAAACACCCATATACAGGGTGGCGCCTCTCATACGCGGCGGAAGCTCCAAGGAGAACAACAGTTTATATTGAAATGAAATTTTGTGAGTATATGTAGGTTAATTCAGAGCACTTTTTAAAAATATAGAGAGTTCTACAGAGTGTCCCCAAAAAAAGTTACATATAAAAGTTGTGTTTTTTGTAATGGAACACCCTATATATTAATTGATTTTCGGATTCTGGGAGAAAAATAAAGGTGAGTTTTATAAGGTAAGTATATGACTAAAGTGTAAGGTTTTTGACTTCAAAATATTATTAAGTTTGTCCAAAGGATATACCAAACCAAACCTTCAAATAAAGATTTTCCTAGATATTTTCATTCACATGATTTGATCTGAGTAGATCTTTATTATTTGATAAAATTAAGGTGGCTGTGATATGTCTGACATTACTTCAATATAGCCTCTGATATAGCTGTCTAATTAGTTCAACTTTAACAACTAGTTATTATTTTGTGTCAGGTAAAACAAGAAAAAATCTCAGAAATTTGCCGAAAGTGCAAACTTATCCTACATCAGAAAGAATTGATATGATTGTATTAGTTGGCGAATGCAGTGTCCATTCACCAATTAATAGAATACTTAAATGCTCCTGATTTTATCTAGTCTGGTTTTTTTTTATAGGGATATGTTAAAGACAGTGTTTACAAAACTCGACCAAGTATTGTCGGCAACATGAGAGAAATTATTGCAGCTGTTTTTCGATGTAGAACTCCACATATACCTTTTAAAATGAAAAGATCCTTTTGAAAAGATAATTATTTTATGCAGTTAACAGGAAAGGAAGCATTTTGAGCATTTGATTTCATGTAGCTAATTTTTATCACATAATTATAGGTTTATATCTAGTTTTAATTCTGTAATAATTAAAATACGTTTTAAACGTGTATCTTTTTATTACCGTTGATTATTTTACTCTACAATCTTTAATTTTTGTTAAATTAAAAAAGGTATATCACACTCAGCCGCCCCTAGATTTTTTCAAATAATAAAGATCTGCTGAGGCAAAATCAGCAAAATCATAAAAATGAAAATATCTAGGAAAATCTTTGTCTGAGGGGTAGGCAACCTTAATAATATTTTGATGATATATAAATTCCCCATCGAACAGCGGAAAAATATACTGGGTGTTCTGTTTAAAATAAAGGAATAACTTGCTTTTAAAAGTGACTAATGTTCCATATTAATTTTGTCTCACCCTGTATAACTTTTTGGGTCAAATTTCAATTTGGTTTAAGATACAATGGTTACTGTAATTAAATATCAGGCTATACAAGGTCAACTAAAATTTAGGTAGCTGTTTTCGAAATTTAAAATTTACTTTTCATTTTCACAAAATGTGAAATATGTCAAAATCTTTTGATTTTAGGTATATGCTTCTTTAAAAACACACCATTATTTTTTCCTAGAATCCGAAAATCAATTAATATATAGGATGTTCCATTAGAAAAAACAAAACTTTGATATGTAACTTTGTTTGGGGACACCCTGTATAATTCTATATATTTTTATAAAATGCTTTCAGTTAACCTACATAATATGCTGCCAAAATTTCATTTCGATATAAACTATCGTCCTCCTTTAAACTTCCGCGGCGTATGAGAGGCGCCACCCTGTTATAGAGCGAGTCTTAAATAACTACAAATATTTTCAGGGCTTGTAGAAATAATAAAGAAATATATTCTCTGTCTTTAGAGAAATAGAAATATAAATATATCTTTCTCCCCACTGGATCATTGGACAGTTTTCTTTCTTGTAAATTTAATCTACTACAATATGTTGCCATATTATGAAGAAATTATGATTTTGTACTAAATACTAAAAAAAATCCAAATTTTCAATTTTTTTTTTGCGAAAATAGCCGATTTCTTTTTAAATATTTCTCCTCTCTTATGACCCTGTATTTACTTATGAGCACCAGTCAAGGTCAATGAAGTTGTCATTTGAAACTGTCAAATATAGTTGACATTTCAGAAATTTATCTATTTAGTGCTAGTATTATTAAAAACTCATACCTACATCGAAAATATTAGCCATGAATTACACTACCGAAGAAAAAGTATTGATGATTAAATGGTATTATCAAGGAAATAGTTATCAAAAGGTGTCGGACATGTTTGCTGCTCTGTATCCGAATAGACCGATACCTGGAAAATCTACAATCGCAAGGAATATCCAGAGATTTGAGACCAAAGGCACCCTAATAAATAACTGCAGATGTGAAGAAGCAAGGCAGGAACAAAGAGAAGATGCAAGAAATGATATTGTTTTATTGTGAGTGGAAGAGAACGATGGAAAGATCAGCACAAGGAAACTTGAGGATGAATTAGGAATAGATTACACTCAGTGGCGTAGCGCTACTACCGCAAGCCCCCGCAGCAGCGGTGGAGGGGGGGGCAGGCCCAAAGGGGGCCCGAAACCTCTAACGTCTGAAACTTTGTGGTAACTTTGTCTGAAAAAGAATTATTTATGGATGCAGAAACACTAAGCAAAAACACACAGCAGACATATTCGAGCGATCTGTCTACGACTTTCCCTTTAGTGATAGTCGCATTGTGTATGCCGCTAAAGGAAAAAAAATTATTCTCTTCAAAATATTAAAGATATTGCTGTATTTTGAATTGTAGAAAATAACACCTTAGCGTCAAATTTTCCAGAGGAAACAACAGCTTTATTATTATTTCTAACTCTTCCAGTGAGTGGTGAGTGTTGCTACAGCGGAAAGATCATTTTCCAAATTGAAAATCATCAAAAATTATTTACGAAATAGTTCCTCTCAGACAAGGTTAACTAACTTGGCTATACTGTCCATAGAGGCACAAGAGGCGGTCAAAATGGATAACACCCAGATAATAAAAAAATTTGCGGAGGCAAAAGCTAGAAAAAAACAATTTACCGCCTGAAAATAACGGCTTAAGAAATTCAAGTTTTTGTCACTTAATTTTAAATATTTTAGTTTATAAGTCAATGTTGTTTATCAGTTTACCTAGTATGATAGTAGGTAGTGATGGGCAAAACTGTTATTTTTAGATAACAGTTGAAACTGTTATAGTTATTTATAAAAAACAGCTTAAAATAGCAGCTTAAAAATAACATGTTTCTTTATTTTACTGCTAAATATCTGAAAGAGTATGAGACGCTCACCGCCAGGCGTATTAACGCAGTTGCAAGTTGCAACAATGACGGGCTCGGTGGTAGTATTTCCAGGGTGTCAAAACATTTCTAAATATCGATTGTTATCTAAAATACCTCTCTAAAAACGGTGGTTATTTACAAATAAGCGCTGTTTACAAATTGCGATATAAAAAAAGCCAAAATTCCGCCACTCGTCTATACCTACACATTGCGATCTACCTACGCCCTGCCCCTGAGATTCGCATAGATCCTGAATTGCGTAGCAGTGTACAGGGTGCATCTCACTCGACGGGCGAGAAGCTCTTAGTTATGATTTTACCATTTGCGGTCAAAAAATAGCAATATAAGAAAATGTGTAGTATATTCTTCATAAGTAAACCAACTACACACTAGAGTTCGAATTAATTTTACACTTAAACTAGCGTGTACCCGCGACTTCGTTCGCGTCAAAATTAATAATTTCTAATGGTAATGATAAAGCAAAACAAGAATTTCCATTGACATACAAAATGGATAAAATTTTCTCACATTTGCCAAAAATAAGCTTTCTAACGTCGAGCAGTTTAAGCAGAATCGTGGTTAATCAATTACTTCAACAACTTTTTGGAACACCCTGTATGATTTTTTAATAAATTTCAAAATATGTAAAAAAACAAAATAAATTATGCGTGTCCAGGCGTTTTCCCGAAAGACTAACCGTTTTTTAAATAACAAATGTTGTAATATTTGAGGGGCGTTTTCACCCTGTTGGAATTTGAGATTCGAGAAACCCCTCCTTATTGAACCTCAACCCCACAGTCAGTCCGTTTGCAAAAAATCAGCTTTAAACGTCCAGCAGTTTAAGCAGAATAGTGATTACTCAATGGTCATATTTTTTATGAAACACCCTGTATATATTTTAAAAATCTTAAAAAATATGTAAAACAACATAATAAAATATACGTGTTTTAAGAGTTTTCCGAAAAACTCACCGGTTTTTAAATAAAAATATTCTAATATTTCAGAGTAGTTTCACCCCCTTAGAATTCGAGTTTCGAAAAATCCTTCTTATCGAACCTCTACACTAAAGTCAATCCGTTTTCCAAAAATCAGCTTTTTACGTCAAGGGCTTTAAGCAGGATCGTGATTAATCAATGACCAGATTTTTCAAAACACCCTGTATACATTTTTAAAAAATCTTAAAATATTATTCTGAAAATTTTTCAGAATAAATAAATACCTAAATATTGAAAGTTAATAAGTAAGTATTGAACCATACAGCGCCATAATATCTCGACCTCCGTCCGTTATGCTCGTAACAGGTTGAAACAGAATGTATCTAAAACAACTGATGGCGTTATTCCCCAACCTGTCTCGAACCTCCATCGACAATCGACCGATGCAGCAGCGTTCGTTTCCCACACCGATTATCTCGATCGCCGCCCTGTTATGCTCGTAACAAGTTGAAAAACAACATATCTAAAATGACTGCTTCTCCAACCCGTTGCGAGCCTCTATCGACAATCGACCGATGCAGCAGCGCTCCTTTCCCACTCCTGTTATCTCCACCGCCAGGCGTTATGCCCGCAACTGTTTCAAAAAACCTGTTTCTTTTATATCCTATTATTTTTAAGCTGTTGTAAATACGACCATCGACGGTATCGACCGAAGCAGCTACTAGTGATGGGTTGTTATTTAACTATCTGTTATTTTATAACAATTATTTATAAATAACATAACGCAACCGTTACTACTTCTAAAAAATAACAGATATAAAATAACGACACGTAGAGATCGGCCGCTCGTGAAACGAAAAACGAAGTCAGCGCTCTGCACCGCCACGAAATTATACGCTGCTCGAAGCAATTCCAAAAAACAACTAGTATGGATTTAAAACCTGTTATTTCGTCAACCATCGATACAGGCGGCGAGACAACGGACAACGGAGTGGGGAATGCGCTACGGCGAACGTAGCTGCTTCGGTCGATACCGCTTAAAAATAATAGGATATAAAAGAAGCAGGTTTTTTGAAACAGTTGCGGGCATAACGCCTGGCGGTCGAGATAACAGGAGTGGGAAAGTAACGCTGCTGCATCGGTCGATTATCGATGGAGGTTCGAAACAGGTTGGAGAATAACGCATCAGTTGTTTTAGATACATTGTTTTTCAACCTGTTACGAGCATAACGGGCGGAGGTCGAGATATTATGGCGCTGTATGTTTCAGTACTTACTTATTAAGTTTCAATATTTAGGTATTTATTTATTCTGAAAAATTTTCAGAATAATATTTTAAGATTTTTTAAAAATGTATACAGGGTGTTATGAAAAATCTGGTCATTGATTAAACACGATCCTGCTTAAAGCCCTTGACGTAAAAAGCTGATTTTTGGAAAACGGATTGACTTTAGCGTGTAGAGGTTCGATAAGAAGGGATTTTTCGAAACTAGAATTCTAAGGGGGTGAAACTACCCTCAAATATTAGAATATTTTTTATTTAAAAACCGGTGAGTTTTTTCGGAAAACTCTTAAAACACGTAAATTTTATTATGTTGTTTTACATATTTTAAGATTTTTAAAAAGATATACAGGGTGTTTCATAAAATATGACCATTGAGTAATCACTATTCTGCTTAAACTGCTTGACGTTTAAAGCTGATTTTTGGCAAACGGATTGACTGTGGGTTTGAGGTTCGATAAGGAGGGGTTTCTCGAATCTCAAATTCCAACAGGGTGAAAACGCCCCTCAAATATTACAATATTTATTATTTAAAAACGATTAGTCTTTCGGGAAAACGCCTGGACACGCATAATTTATTTTGTTTTTTTACATATTTTGAATTTTTTTAAAAATCATACAGGGTGTTCCAAAACGTTGAGTAATTGATTAACCACGATTCTGCTTAAACTGCTTGACGTTTAAAGCTTATTTTTGGCAAATGTGAGAAAATTTTATCCAGTTTGTATGTTAATGGAAATTCTTGTTTTGCTTTATCATCACCATTAGAAATTATTAATTCGACGCGAACGAAGTCGCGGGTACACGCTAGTTTAAGTGTAAAATTAATTCGAACTCTAGTGTGTAGTTGGTTTACTTATGAAGAATATACTACACATTTTCTTATATTGCTATTTTTTGACCGCAAATGGTAAAATCATAACTAAGAGCTTCTCGCCTGTCGAGTGAGATGCACCCTGTACACTGCTACGCAATTCAAGATCTACGCGGATCGAGGGGCAGGGCGTAGGTAGATCGGAATGTATAGGTATAGACGAGTGGCGGAATTTTGGCTTTTTTATATCGCAATTTGTAAACAGCGCTTATTTGTAAACAACCACCGTTTTTAGAGAGGTATTTTAGATAACAATCGATATTTAGAAATGTTTTGACACCCTTGAAATACTACCACCGAGCACATCATTGTTGCAACTTGCAACTGCGTTAATACGCCTGGCGGTGACCGCCTCATAATCTTTCAGATATTTAGCAGTAAAATAAAGAAACCTGTTATTTTTAAGCTGTTATTTTAAGCTGTTTTTTATAAATAACTATAACAGTTTCCACTGTTATCTAAAAATAACAGTTTTGCCCATCACTAGCAGCTACGTTCGCCGCAGCGCTTTCCCCCCTCCGTTGTCCGTTGTCTCGCCGCCTGTATCGATGGTTGACGAAATAACATGTTTTCCATCCATACTAGTTGTTTTTTGGAATTGCTTCGAGCAGCATAGAATTTCGTGGTGATGTAGAGCGCCGACTTCGTTTTTCGTTTCACGAGCGGCCGATCTCTACGTGTCGTTATTTTATATCTGTTATTTTTTAGAAGTAGTAACGGTTGCGTTATGTTATTTATAAATAGTTGTTATAAAATAACAGATAGTTAAATAACAACCCATCACTAATAGTATGGCTACCTTAGCTACTTGAAGAATTTGTTAGTTTTTAATTTTTTTTTAGTCATAAAGAATATTTTTTTATTTTGTTTCTTTTCCGCTAGATTAGCAAACCAAAGATTTTTTAGTTTATATTGCTTTAGTTTTGAAGAGTATTTTTAATTTTCTTTTGTTCCTTATTATTGTTCGCTACTTAGTGCCCGAACATTTTTCAGTTTTTGTTCCCTCTAGTTTCAAAGAATATGTTTTGTCTTGTTCCTTGTTCGAAAATAATATTTTTTGTATTGTAACGTTCTTCGCACATCGTGTATTGTATATATTTTTTTTGTTTTTATATGCATTAAAGTTGAATTTTATATTAGGTTTGAAGTTGAGATATATTTCCCAAATTTGTTTCCTGAATTGGTCATACTAGCTTCATATTCATATAAAATAAAATAAAATAATATAAATATAGAATTATTCTCAAAATAGGGAATAGGGAAGGAGGCCGGGGGGGCCTAACTCAAGTTTCGTGGGGGGGCCCATAATTTGTCGCTACGCCACTGATCACACTACAGCGTTTCGAATTTTGAAACGGCATAAATATTATCCCTTCAAATATGAAAAGCACCAAGAGCTACGAGATGGGGACGAAATACGGCGGCAGGCGTTTTGTTTTGATATGATGGAAAGAGCAAACACGGATAGGGAATTTTTAAAACACATATGTTTCACTGACGAATGCACGTTTACCTTAAATAATAAACGTTCAAAAAATCGATCAGATATTGGAACAAAGAAAACCAACACAGGTTTGTCGAAACAAGGACGCAATATCCACAGAAAGTAAATGTTTAGGCAGGGATATTCGGACACAATATTATCGGGTCATTATTTCTTACGCGAAATTTAAATGCAGAATATTATTTGGAACTACTCGAAAATCATATTTTACCTGCTTTACATGATGCCGCTAGGGAAAATCAGGAACTTTCGTACCAAATGGATGGCTGCCCGCCACATAGAATTTTGGCTGCCCGGCACATAGAATCTATTGCATTCTGCCGAATGCAATAGAATTTCACTTTACCAACTAGCGAATGTAAGAAGAGAATTTTATGATCGCCTGGGTTATTGTCTAGCAGTCGATGGAGGAATATTTGAACATCTTCTTAAATCCTAAAGTTCTAACAATTTAATAGTATAAATTAATAAGGTTAATTATAGTATTATTACAAGATTATTACAATATTCAATAATTAAGTTATTGAATATTGTAATAATACTATAATTAACCTTGTAATTGATTACTTTACTTTACTTTAATTCATATTAATTTGTATTTATAAATACATCTTAATGATTTCCGATGTAGGAATGAGTTTTCAATAATAATAAAGCACTAAATAGGTAAATTTCTGAAATGACAACTTCATTTGACAGTTATCTTTTACCTTGACTGGTGCTCATAAGTAAATACAGGGCCATAAGAAAGGAGAAATATTTAAAAAGAAATCGGCGATAACTCGTAAACGAGCTAATCAAAAATATCTAAAGTTATTCTTTTGAATGTGGGTTTTAGTGCTCTTCAATAAACCTAAATAGAATTATTCTCTAAAATAATTAGGGAAGCCAATAACTGACCCCATTAAAATTTACAGGGGATTTCCTATGTCCAGTTCGACGATGCAACACCCGGTATATGCAGTTTAAATTTGTTGATTGTTCTTAAATACCGGGTGTGTCTCAAAAGTGGCTCGCCCTTTTAACTTTTTTATTTTTTCAGATAAATAAACGAAATTTGGTATGTTAGTATATGACATAAATTAGGATTGATTGGTGTATTCAATTGTTTTTGGTCACTTCCGGTTTCACCGGAAATGACTACAACTTTTGGTTTTTAAATGGCACCCTCGGTATTTTTTTACATTATTCGATAGAATATGACATTTTGAATAGAATGACAACTTTTGACATTCTCGCTTAATAAAAAATTGTATTTTAAAATTCAATCTAAGGTGCCATGGCTATGTTAAAAACACTAATTCTTCATCAAGGAGCCTTGGAAAAATAGATTCGATCGTCTAATGTTTTTAGAGTCTTGTCCTGGCCAGTTAGAAAATGCTCTAATCGTATTTTTAATCATATCTCAATTTTTAAATGGAACGAGGGTGGCTCATTAGCATATTTGGAAAAAGCATTTTTTACGAATAATTTGATACCACACACTTGGTAGAGTCAAATTGTCATTGTAATCTAGAATGTCAAAAGTTGACATTCTATTCACAGTGTTATTTCCTATGAAATAAAGTAGAAAAATGCCTAGGGCGTCATTTAAAAATCAAAAATTACCAATAATACGTTGATCACTCCTGATTTATGTCATATAATAACGTATACCAAATCTTGTTTATTTTTTATCTGATAACGTAAAAAAAATTATAGGAGTGACCCACATCTGATAAACACCCGGTATTTCCACTTATTTTTCTATTTTGTTAGGAAATGTTGCCCAAGTTATATGGGAGGGTCAAGATTTTGATTCCGGCGAAACAGTAAATTCAGAACAAGCTAAATTCGGCTTTGACACAAGATTTCACGACGGACCAATAAATTGGATAGAAACATCTTCAGCGCTGAACCTCACTTTATCTGTTGGTGGTAAAATATTTGCATTGTGGCGTACGGGTATATCCGATAAGCCTATATTATGGCGGAGGTCTCGCCAAATGTATACCAAAGGTCAATTTAACTTCTTTCAGGTAAAAGTCTGTATTATTAAGATGAAAAGTCGATTCAAATGTGCTGAATTTTAGGATTTTTGCGTTACAGCAAAACTCGCGTTAATTAACCTAAGGTTGTATTCCGTTGCAAAACCAGGAGAACCAGACCGGTAAATTACGGTAAAGAACGGTTCCTGAAAAACATCGGTTTGATACGGAACGGTTTGATAAAATACTGGAAACGTCAAATGTTGACGTTTACTAAATTTCAATACCTCTTTATTAAATTTATCTTTTATGCATTTTTAATGTACCCGTTCTCTGCTTTTACGTTTGCTTCTTCTTTTACGTTTGCTTCTTCTTTTCAATGGAGTTTAATATTGAAAAGTACTTTATTAATAAACTGTTACACTCGTTAGACAGCTCAAGTGAAGATTTGCAGGGCCAATGTCCAATATTAAAACAGATCAATAATAAATAGACAAATTTAATCAATATTTTTATTTTTATAGCTTCCAAAACATTCACGATTATTTGTTGTCTTGTTTTTCATGTTTTCTTTAAATGTTCCTGACTTTAAGAAACAATGGCTGCATGATAGTTTAAATGGTCCTGAAAAGTCATTCTATTTAGTTAATGAAATTTATTTACCTTTACTGCTTATCTCCATTGTTTTTGGATGTAAATACAAAATATTATTACACATTTTAGAAATTAAATGAGAATTTCACTCGAACTTTCAATATTTGCTTGATTTCTGTCACATAAATGACATTGATTGACAAACAAAACCAGAAAAACCAGCCTTCTCGCGCTGGTTAGTTTGGTGACAGTTATAACCGAATTTTTCAGGAACCGTGTTCCGTAATAAGAAAACTTTCAGGAAACCGATAGAAACGGAACATAAAACCATAACCAAGGTAAGCAACGGAATACACCCTTAATTAAAATTTATTAACAATACCTATGTCGTTCATTGATTCCCTATAATTATACAGGATTGTTCACCACATACAACACGGAATATTGTTCGCTATGCGGGCCCAAGTTATTCCTGCTAATTTCCTAATATCATGGTCCCATCTCAGGTTTGGTCTTCTTCCAGGCATTTTAATTTTTTGTGGGTACCGTGCTGTAATTTCTGTGGTCCATGTGTTATCCTTCCTTCTTGCCAGGTGTCCTGTCCATTGTCACTTGAGGGATTTGATTCTGTGGATGACATCTATTACCTGGGTCTTTTGTCGTATCCACTCTATTCTTTTAAGGCCTTTCTTGGTTATTCCCAGCAAATTTCGTTCCATTGATCGTTATGCGACCTACAGTTTCCTTATAATGTCCGTTTGCAGTGTCCAGGTTTCGCATGCATATGTATATCATGACTGGTAGTACACATTGGTAGAATGTTTTCATCTTTAGATAAAGTGGCATTCTAGATTTGAATATGATTGAGTTTCTTCCATAAGTACTCCATGCTAACTTCGATATAGCTAATTTCGATAAAAAAAACATATTTTCTCTTTATCGTTTTTCAGATAAGTCCAAAATAACAGAGTTATTTTACTTTGAAAATTTCCAAAAAAAATGATATTTTGCTCAAATTTTGAGAGCCACTGGATCTTTTCTGGATTTTCTTTCTTGTAAATTTAATTTACTACCTACCTATGTTGCCATACTCGTTGCCATATTATCAAGATGAATTATTATTAATTATGATTTTTAACTAAAAACTAAAAAAAATCGAAAACATTTTTCAAAAAATTCAGAATTCTCAAAAAAAAAATTCGCGAAAAAAACCTCATAGGTGTGTTTCTGGGGTGAACTATACTACCAGTTAAAATACTTGCACTTATTTCTGGGACACCTTTTATATTTCTTCTACTATTTGCAGTGTTTTTCCAATTTCAAAATCAAAACTTCATAACTCGGAAATGGTGGAATTTAGGTACAGTATGTGTATTACGATTATTGCTTAAATTTGAAAGAAGAATTGAAATAGGCAATAATATACAGGGGTTTGCATTTAAAAAAATAAATTTTGATGTGCCACAACTTTATGGCGGGCCCTGTATACTTAAAGTTACTACTAGCTAATAGAAATTTAAAAACCCTATAACTTTTGTATTTAACTTTTTGCGGTACCTTGTATATTATATTTAATAAAAATGTATTACAATATTTCAGCCTTTTATAATCATATTGCTAACCAATAGTGGAGTGCTGGAGAAATGGGTTATATCACTAAACAGTAAAGAACCGATGTTCAAAGAAGTTATGTCTAACAGCTTTTTTACTGCTTCCGGTGTGCACCCGTTTCAACTTAAGAAAAATATAGTCGGATTGGCAGACGAACAAGGTAAATGCCGTTTAACAGAAACAAAAAAAATCAAGTTGGCTTGGAAATGACGATTGATAACATTCGCTGTATAATTTCCTTTGAATAAAAAGATTAAGAAAGGAGCATATCAAAAAATTTAGATCGAACGCGACGGTCTCCTAGAATGGCCGACTTAAGGTACGCGCACACTGACCAGCGCCGCACTCGCCGCACGCGCCGCACTAATCGCACTTTTTTTTCTTGTCGCGCCCACTGAGCCGCACAATGGATCGAAGCATAAGAAAATAGAGACATTGGCTGTTTTTGAAGAGTTCCAAATTTAAATAGTTTTTTATATATTTGTGTTAAAGATATATTCTAGTCTTATAAAACATATACAGTATGTCTGTTTGTTATTTACTTATTGAGCATATGAGCACCAATTGAAGTAAATTGAAAAACTATTCAAATTGGTAGATAAAGAGTCGTACATTTGATTGTAATTTTAAAATGAATGTAAAAGATATTCGTTTGTTATATATAACGACTTATTAAAAGCATTCTTAGGCTATAGTATTGGATTGTTAAATTTAAAAAAAAGTCACACCAGAAGTGAAAAACTTATTTGTTTTTATTTATGTCGTTAAAACTTAAAAATATAAAGTTTTCTTGAATTACAAAAAAATGTAAGCGGATGTAAGTGGAGATATTACGTGCAATGAAAAGAGCCACCTTTACTAGCACGTATCATAAAAAAATTGGCTGCCCCAAAGTGCCACTGCAAAAAATATAATGTTTTTAATGTCAAAATCCTTGAATGTATGCAATGCACGCACAGTGCACCATCAAACAATTTGTAATTTGCCGATATACATAGGTAAGTATATTCGTCGAAGAATATTGGAGTGGGACTAAATTACACTAAAATACATAAGACATATAGGTTGAAAGGCCCAGAAATATTTTCTTTAATACCATTAATTTTTATGTAGTTAAGATAAACAAGAGACACCGAACATGAATGAGTCGAAGTTCAGGTTTTGTCTTTTTATCAATACAGAAATGATATGATATTTATACATTTGTAATACAGTGCGCTTAGCTTAGCAATTTCGTCACTCAGATATCAAGTTTGCCATGGAATAACAATCAAGCACATTGTGAAAAGCAATTTCTCTTTTGTTATAATGTTTTTGTCTTCTTTTTTATTTAGAGATTAGTTCTTTTGTGAGTCACCCTGTATATTTTGTTAACTATTTGGTACAAAAGGCCATATTAATGTAGATTTAACAGAGAAAGTAATTTCGCATTTGTTATAATATTTTGTTTTCTTTTTTGTTTATAGATGAGCTCTTTTTATAAGACACCCTGTATATTTTTTAAAATATCTGGTACAAAAGGCCATATTAATTTAGATTTAACAGAGAAAGCAATTTCTTTTTTGTTATAATATTTTTGTTTTCTTTTTTGTTTAGATATTAGTTCTTTTTTTGAGATACCCTGTATATTTTGTAAACTATATGATACAAAATGCCATATTAATTTAGATTTTTGTTGTATTTATTGAAGTCTTTTTCTTGACAATGAATGATAACGAACAAGAAATAATTATAAGCTCCTTGCTAATAGAAGAAGAAAAAATCACGAAAAAGAATCGAAAGTTATAGGTTCACAATATTTGCAAAAATCCACATTATTTCCATATTTAATTGAGGATGAACCAAAAATTTTTCAATATGTGCATATTGAATTTCTAATCTCCTCTTCGGCTACCTACGTAGAGTGGAAGGAATTGCGTGTGACGTCAGCAGCACTAGCCGCATTTACCGAAAATCATTCTGGCCCAACAATGCTGGCCGCATTTTCGTCGATGCGATTCGTGCGGCTCCGGCTAGTGTGTGCACCAAAGACATTATAAAGATAGACCGAACATCTCATTCATAAATACTCGTTGGTAGTGTATCAAACATTCCAATGTGTCAAACAAGGACAGAAAAGACAGAGAAGTCTAAAATTTCCGACCCCGGCAACTAGGTGCATTTGGACTGTTCTAATGGCCAGTGGCGTATCGTTTTTTGGAACGAATTTAATTTTTAAAGTAAAAGTAAATTAATTAGTAAAATTTATACTCTATATTAATATACTACATTAACACTTTTTCGTCAGATGATTATTTTATAAGGTCTAATATAACAATATAATTAATATCCCACATATACCTATGTTGAAACGTTAGCAGATGGTTTTCGAAAATCGCTCCAACGTCGATTTTCAATTTAGACTTTCAGTTACTTCTATATATACTTGAATATTTACAGGGTGACTCAGGCTTCCGAAACAGTTCTATATTAGGTTTGTGGTTGGTGACTTTTTTTCAATTTTTTTTAGAATATGGAGGCAATGGTAAAGCACATTTTAGACATTTTTGTAAACATAGGTGGCCGGAACATATTTTCAAACCAAAGTTGTAGATTTGCCATTAAATTTCCATTCCAGAAATACCTAGGGTTGCCACCTGTCCTTTTTTGAAAAAGACAGCCCTTTTTTGGAATAACTTGTCCTTTTAACTTTTTTTGACTTAAAAAGTCATTTTTATTTTCGTATTTTCCCTGAGAAAATTACCTACAACAAACAGAAATATTCTTTTCGTCCAAATTTAATTAGAGATATTATAAAACTTATAAATAATTTTTTTCTTGTTTAGAATAGTCAACATTATTTAGAACTTCCCGTTTAATCTGAAATGATAGTTTAGGTTTTAGTTTTACCTTTTTTGATCTTAAAAAGAACTTCAAAATTAGCAATTAGTAACGATTTAGTTAGTTCGCAATCGATAGCTTTCTGTGAAGTACTGTGTAATAGTTGTTTAATCTTGTATTATTAATAACTTTCTATACCTATAATCAATATTTAATGAAAAATGTTTTTTTTTAAATATAAGAACAAGATTTGACTTTCGGTCTTCTTCTTGTATTATGGTGGCTCTGATACGAGGCAATTACCTTTTAGTCTCTCAATAGAAGGCATTTATCATTAAAGGTATCAAATCTGTGTGCTACAGTATGGGATTTCTGTCGCATAATAATGAATATTACGTTTGCTCCTAAGGCTCAAGGCTTGGTAGGGTTTGTATAAATAAATAAAATACAAAAAGCAAAAAATTATTAAGGCCTAACCCCTACATATATGCTTATTCTCTGTATTAAGTTCATCAGATTGAAGGGAACAGCCATTCGACGACAGGTTTCGGAAATTTATCTCCATCGTCAGGCCGACTTTGCTGTAATTCTCAATCCGACAAACGAAAAGCAGAAAATAGCATTTGAGTACAAAACGTACTACTATGGCGAGTGCTAGATGGCGAGAGCAGCTAGTAGTAATAGGTAAAAAGCTTTTTTGGAGGCCTGGGTCACTCTGTATATAGGTATGTATAAAACTAGTAGCCTAAGAATTATTTACAGTTCGTCCCATTCTAAAAAAAAAGGTAAGCACACCGTACAAATAACTCTAGGAAGAGGTATTTGTACAGTGGTAAAAAATTGTCTAAACAAGGCCGAAGCATATACATATAACTTTATATACTCAGCCTAATCTCTAAAAGGTGAAGCCCAAACAGTGAAAGAGAAATATGGAATTCTGCATAAGTCTAATTTACCCGGATAGTCACTTAATTGCGCATGCCTTACCTGAAGAAGTTTTCATTGGTCCGTGTTTTTAAAGAGAAGTGGTAGACTGACATTTCACCTAACCTTCAATTTTATTTATATTTTTATTATTTATAACACATTATCATGGAGTTGGAAAAATATCAAAAAATAGTTGGAAACAATAAACTAAACAAAATCACTCTTTTACGCGCACAAATAAAAAGTAATCCAAACAGAACTAAAACAACAATCAAACGGAGTTTGGCGCAATCGCAGTTCAATCGATATCCGGGTGAAATAGACTTATGCAGCATTAAATATGGAGCTGAGTTATGTTGTCTTTTTCTTACGGCACGGAAACAGCACACGGGGTTAAATAGGGAACACTGAGTATATATAGTTATATGTATATGGGCTGAAGAGGCAGATATAATAAAGCAATAAGATGTAAAAAAGGTCGGATAACACCTTTGTTTATTTGTTGAGCAAAATTCCATTCGAATATGGTATATAATGACCAGAAATGACGCAATTTTAAGAAAAAAATGTCACTTTCTGGCTTATAATAAAATTTCAAATGCAACGTTTATATTCAAATTTGTTATGATCTAAAACAGTTAGATAGTCATTGAGACAAATTATAATTCAATTACTGGCTACTACGTTCTTGTTTTAATAGATTCATTACAAATATAATTAGAAATTATTTTGATTGTGAGAGGCTCCCTTGTGGGACGCCTATGTACAATGACGAAAACAATACCCACCTGTGAAAAGATAAATTCGGGCAATTTGAGCTTATTTTTCCACACACTTGACACTGAATTCGCAGATTCAAAAGTAGGTACGTTAAACAAAAACAAAAACCACCGAAAAACACTGAAAGTTCACTTTCGTCTTGATTCCGACTTCAAACACACCGCAAGCTAAACGTAGTACGCTATAACGGACCAAGGGCCGTCGCGAGGGGTGGTGGGACGGACGGCTCATTTTATTCTGGAAGACTAGGAGCGACGTTGCCAATAGTTCTAGACGTTTCAGCACATTAAACAGTAAACATGTCCTTTAATAGTAACGCATATATCCTCTGGTTAATAACATATTATTACGCATGCTTCTTTAAAAATAAACTATTAATTTAATTAAGAAATTGAGATTTATTGATATCCGGTAAATGTTTTAAAGTCACCTTTTCTGCAAATCAAACTGAGTAGATAGGTGCAAATTTGAGATGTGGCAATGTCGCCTTCTCTATCTCAGTTGGTTTTTACAGTACGTAGTCAACCTCCGATTGTTTGATCGGGTTAACATGTCTAATGTGATATCTGTTCTTACTAAATCTATGGTGTGCACCTTCATTCATTGAAAGTAACACAAACAATATTTTTCTTCGGTCGATGCGGCGCGTGCGGCTCTGGTCAGTGTGCGCATACCTTTAAATTTCGGTTGATCAGTGCCGTTCTAATTTTATTCAAAACGTGTAAAAATATGATGTAGGGTAGACGTGGGGTAGACTCAATAATGTGATGTTTAATTTATTTTACGTTGTAAATAAATATTGGTAGTTATTAAAATTGTTATAAAAATATACAATTCTAATAAAAATAGAAGTTATAATAATTATTTATTAACACAAACATCCGATATGCTACTGAAGCCAGTAAGTCAAATTGACGTATCTAAATTCTTTGACAAGTAGTAAATAAAAGCAAAAATGTAAAAAAAATATAATTAGTTAATTTTAAGTGAATTTTATAAATGATCGGTTTATTATAACAGGGTCCGACAATAGTGCGTCAGGCATTTGTAGCTCCAAGAATAAAAAAATTGAGAATTTTATTTAAGTGCACACCTAAAGTATGACCAGGATGTATTTCAAGAAAATATTTTAACTTCTATAGGGTGGCTCAAAAAAGTGTGAGTGGACCTGGATGATTTTTTTTAAATGGAACACCCTGTATATTATTGCATTCTTGGCTTCCTTTCAGATCACTTTACATAACCTTAAGATATTAATAAATATATTTCAATAGTATCAGAGATTAAAAAATGTATCAAAAATGTATATTTTTCTGCCCTTCTTAAAAAATTATTAAAAATACAAGAACTGTTTTTAAATCACTAACTATATTAGGTATTGGTCTGTTTTTACTTTGCTATAAATATGCTAATCGTAAGTCATACAGGATGTTCAATATTCTACGCCAAACTTTCTAAAATATAAAATATTTTTTCTTTGTTTTTTTTTAACACCCTGTATATTATTTTTTATTAGATGGAGAGTTAAAAAATGAAAATTTTTTGTATTTAGAGTATTTCAAAATTTTTAACGGTTTCGCAGACATATATATAACACGCAGTATTATTTCATATAGATGTCCGACGCACTATTGCCGGACCCTGTATACACGTATGTATATTATACAGGGTGAGTCTTAAATAAGTGCAAATATTTTTAGGGCTGGTAGATCTCGATAAAAGAAACGTATTTTCTCTTTACCATTTTTCAGATAAGTCCAAAATAATCTAGTTATTTATGTTTGGTTTTTTGAAAAAAATTTGAGAGCCACCGGTTTTTTCTGTATTTGCATCCCAAAGTTGCATCCCTTTTATTGCCGTAACCATAGAGTAAAGCCGTAGCTATGGTAATATCAGACATTAATAAATTATACCGTGGGAAAATTTGCGGTGAACACGCAGTTCTAAAAAGTTTTCGAAAAATATACAGGGAAGTTTAAAAGAAACATACAATAAGCTCAGTACAGACTGACAAATCCACAAAATTTTAAATCAAATTCAAATGTGTCAAAAGAATCGTCAAACAGAACTGTCAAGGATCCCCACCCTAGAGTCCTCTTTCCGTCGACCATGCATGAATACATGTGTAGCATTATACTTCTTCCTCAATATTTTTATTCAAAGATAATTTCACATATAAATTGACAGCGATCTTTGTTTCCTAGCCAATTCTGACACCCTTTTATTTTCTTTCGTATGGTATATGCAATTTTGCCATAAAGTCGGAATTAAGATATATGGTGATTTTGATGTAGTTTGTGATTTAGTCTAGTGTTTTGGGAATTGATTAATGAAGAAAGTAACTAACCGTAGTATTGCTTGCACTACAATGTCATTCATTACTCCTATAGGAATAATATACAGGGTTGTTCACCACATACGACACGGAGTATTGTAGCTAAACGATGAGATTTTTACAAATTGTAAGTTTTGGGTTCGATGAAGGACTATTAGAGGTACAATTTAAAAATAATTTTACAAGATACAGAGTGTCCCAAATAAGTAAAAAATATCAAAGTTGTATTTTTTTAAACGGAACACCCTGTATATTATTACATTTTTAGTTTCTACGATTAAAATAAAGGTAAATTTGATTAAGGTTTATTATACTTAAACCTTACCGTTTTTGAAATATTTTCAATTTTGTGAAATTTTTAGACACTCTGTATAAGGTAGTATTATTTTTATTATTGCAACACAATAACTGATCAATAAATAAACTTCATTAAATATTTAGTATTAAAAACATTGATACCCTTGGAGAAATGAAGCTTTAAAATTTTTACTGCAATTTCACAAAATTGAAAATATTTCAAAAACGGTAAGGTTTAAGTATAATAAACAATTAAATTCCCACCTTTATCTTTTAATCGTAGAAACTAAAATGTAATAATATACAGGGTGTTCCATTTAAAAAAATACAACTTTGATATTTTTTATTTATTTGGGACACTCTGTATCTTGTAAAAATATTTTTATATTGTAGCTCTAATAGTCCTTCAACGAACCCCAAACTTACAATTTGTAAAAATCTCATCGTTTAGCTACAATACTCCGTGTCGTATGTGGTGAACAACCCTGTATACTTAATTATTCTATTTAAAGTAGGTGTTCTTTACCACATTTATAAATTTATAAAGTAAAATGTCAAAAAAAACATAATCTTTATGCATTTTTTGAGCTGGATATCGGAGATATTCTTAAGATATTATTTCGATAAAATGTCTATATGTATATGTCCCTATCTGGCGGATTCATCTCTCCAAAAAATCCTTTATGGGCATTTTTCTCCACTGCACTGCAAGAAAACCTAGTTTAATAGAGTCAGAATAGTAACACTGTCTCAACAGGGCTACCGACAAGTTACAATAGCTGAAATTGTAGGAGTTAAATCTAGAATTGGAGTGCAGTGGCGAAATACCCATAAAAGATTTTTTTGGAGAGATTATTTTGTATGTGTATTTTTTAAATGTTTATTGGTTTATGTTTTATTTTTGTTTATTTTGCAATTTATCGCAATTTCTAAATAAACTTTTGTAAAGCACAATGGTTTTTGTGTGAGATGACATGTATAAAATATGACGAGAATTGAGACAAGTCGGTGACGATATACCAGATGTATTTGAAAAGCGACTCACCCTATACCTTTTTTATTTTTCCAGATAAAAAACGAGATTTAGGATTTAGTACTTAATAATAAGACATAAATCAGGATTGATTTACGTATTCGATTGTTTTCGGTCACTTCCTGTTTCACCGGAAACGACTACGAGTTTTGATTTTTAAATGATACCTTCAGTATTTTTCACTCTGAATAGAACGACATATCATATATCAAGTTTTGAGAGTTTTGCATGTGTTTATTTGAAATAACATGCGGTTCATAATGACAATTTGACTCGAAATACCAAGAGGTTATCAATAATTTGGTACCACACACTAAATTATCCGTAATTAAATATAGCTTCACAAGATAATTATTTTTTTTAACGTTACAGGTGCCCTTCGATTATTTACTATACCACCAGCGAACGTTGCGCTCTCCGACGAAGTGACAAACCATATGAAAAATTTTGTAGCAAGAGAAATAAAGAGAAAGAAACTATTTTATAAGTGGCAGGTTAGTATTCTCTCATATCATATAGCATTATTATTTAAGATCCGAAGAAGTGTAACCAGGCACTGCTTTTTCAATTGAGTCACTGAGATCCTAGCAGATTATCGCTCTGTTTAATAAATCAGAGGAAATTTCTACAGAAGACATTTAGAAAGTGACAGACAAAAATTGTCACTATCACGTATCCCCTCGTTGAAGATATTTTATTTACCCCAGGATCATAACTGCAGTGGCAGAGCATATAATGTTATAATGTAGGCAAAAAGACGTTGACTCACTCCAGGCAAAATCATAAGACCTTTTTTAGGGTTCCATTTCTCTATGAATTTATAATTAACAAGTACTGTTTAAAGACAGTTACTTAAAGGGGTAATGCCAAAAAGCAGTTGTGTTCACAATATAAAATAATTTGTTTTTATTAGGATTTATGTTATGGTGTGTGTTTTACTACTTATAGCCCAGAGCCTATACAGGCCGAGGTTCAACAAATTAGAGACAAGCTGAAATTTGGCATGGAGCTTCATTTTGTAGATCTTTAAATATCCTGAAACCCCAGCGATGAAGCGTTGAGCCCGTAACCCCAAAACCACCCCTACAAGGGGTAAAAATGGCCCTTTTTTTACTTTTTCTTCAATAACTCTAAAACTACGAATTTTAGGAAAAAAAGTCACGGGTAAAAACTTGAAGAGAAGAAAATTTCCTACCACATACGTAAAGAACCAAAATTTTTAGAATTTCAGTAGCGCAGGTGCGAATTCTGTAATTTAGGAGGATTGTTTTAATAACCCACCATTCTGTGTTTAACTTCAAATGAAAGCATTTTTGAGATAAATCTCGAGACCAAAAAATTTATTAGGATACAAGTTCCTATAAAAACGATCTTTTTATAAAGGTAAGTTAGCAGTGGCGGAGATCATTTTTTTAAATGTGCGTTTTTTACATTTTAAAAACATTGAATAAGAAAAATTGCAGTTTTATAAATAATTTCCCATGAGATAGGTATATTGAAAAATTTACACTTTTAATAACAAAATAAGAAAAAACTTAGCTCAAAAATAGGATAACTTATCTTAAGGATAGTCCTCATTCACTTCCACATTTGTTGGGTTTATACATGTAATGCCAATGCATTGACCACATGCCATAGTGCAGGTGAGTCCCATTCGCTTGCATGTACATACATGCTTTTTTACAGCCTCCCGAAGAGCAATTGCAAAACATTTTCTCAAAAAACTCATGTAGGAGCAATGGGCTGATTTGAATGTATTGGATTCATCTCTCGATTTTTCAGATTCCAACACCAATCTTGCGGTGGTAAATTGTTATTTAACCAAGCCTGGTACCTGTAAGTTAAAAATGAGAATTTAGTTTAACATTTAAATGGAACATAAATTTAACTTACCTGAAGAAAAATTTTAAGTCCATGATATTTCGCACTATTGGAGATAGGTGGTAATGATGCCAAGTTGAAGTTGGTATTAAGACTTCGTTTAGCTCCGTACTACTGATAAAGCATGTATCTGGCACTATCCAAATCTACTTTTTTGTCGAGTTTTTAACAAATGCTACTATAAAAAACTGAGATGTAACTTCTTCTAACTTCTCCTTTGTAGCCTCGGGATTATAAAATTCTTTTAATAGCTTATAACTTTTTCTTCTGAATGGTGTTCACTAAATTAATCTTCCCTTTATTGAACACAGCAAACGTTGTGTCACAACCAGATATAGCGTGAACACTAAGAATCACATTCTTCAGATCCCCCAATTTTTGTTGTAGGGCCTATATGTCGATTATTTTATTTGGTTTTGACACCTTTCCCGGACGAATCATAAACAGTCTCTTGTGGCAATAATGAATCAGTAACACTATAATGTCCGTATCTTCGCTAACTACTACTACGGTCCCTTCTGGTAAATTGTCACTTATTGCGACCGCTGTAGTTAAAATAAGAATATCGGCATCACCATCAGCGAATTTAACATTGATTTCATTTTCCAACAATACTTTTCCGAGCGCACGAATGAAGTTGCTTTTGTTGGTGTTGTTTGACAAAAAATCTGCCTTTGGTACCTTCACTGCGGATAAATTCGAGAAAGATACAATTGGTACCATTTTTTTACCTGCAGATCTGCGATTCTGCTCCACAGTTTTGGTCTGTATCTCCCCATAGCCATCAAAACAACAGTGACATTTTTACCATACAGTACAGGCTTGGTTAAATAACAATTTATCACCGCAAGATTGGGGTTGGAATCTGAAAAACCGAGAGATGAATCCAATACATTCAGACTAGCCCATTGCTCCTACATGGGTTTTAGAGAAAATTTTTTGTAATTGCTCATCGGGAGGCTGTAAAAAAGCATGTACATGCAAGCGAATGGGACTCACCTGCACTATGGCATGTGGTCAATGCAATGGCATTACATGTATGAACCCAACAAATGTGGAAGTGAATGAGGACTATCCTTTAGATAAGTTATCCTATTTTTGAGCTAAAGTTTTTCTTATTTTGTTATTAAACGTGTAAATTTTTCAATATACCTATTTCATGGGAAATTATTTGTAAAACTGCAATTTTTCTCATTCAATGTTTTTAAAATGTAAAAAACGCACATTTAAAAAATTATCTCCGCCACTGGTAACTTACCTTTATTAAAAAGATCGTTTTTATAGGAACTTGTATCCTAATAAATTTTTTGGTCTCGAGATTAATCTCAAAAATGCTTTCATTTCAAGTTAAACACAGAATGGTGGGTTATTAAAACAATCCTCCTAAATTAAAGAATTTGCACCTGCGCCACTGAAATTCTAAAAATTTTGGTTCTTTACCTGTGTGGTAGGAAATTTTCTTTTCTTCAATTTTTTACTCTTTTACTTTTTACTTTTTTCCTAAAATTTGTAGTTTTAGAGTTATTGAAGAAAAAGTAAAAAAGGGCCATTTTTAACCCTTGTATGGGTGGTTTTGTAGGTTGTAGGTTGTACATCGCTGGGGTTTCAGGATGTTTAAAGATCTACAAAATGAAGCTCCATGCAAAATTACAGCTTGTCTCTAATTTGTTGAAGGTCACTCATGTAAAACGATGTATCGGCCTTCGACCTATTAATAGAGATACCCCCAGATCTATGAGCAATCAATTTGTCTGTATTTGATTGAATTAGAACAAAACTGTTCTATTTGTTATTATATTATTACAATTATGGTAGTTCTTTGTAGTTCTATATATTTAACGGACATTTTTTTGGTCAAGTTTAAAATATTATATATTTTTTTATTTTAGCCCTATTTCCTTGATCTTTTTGCCAAAAATTCATGAAAATAGGACTAAAAGTAAAAAAATATAATACTTGACAAAAAAAATTTCCGTTTTTTTGCATCTGAGTGTATATTATAATTATGTAGTTTTAAATTAATATCTTATTCAATATTAAACATGTGTTTCATTAGGATGAATTTAACACAAAACATGAAAATATCTTGAAAATGAAACAGGAAACGGAAAAGAGAGAAAGGGACGAAGAAAATGAAAAGAATTTAGAAAAGCAAGATGACAAGGATACGGACAAAGATGATAAGACAGGTCCCCAGCCAGGTAAGTTTCAGATTTAATACCTTTATTTTTTTGTTAACAGTGTAAATGAGATTAGGTAAATATATCGAGTGGGTCATTAAACAACGGCAATTAAGCGAAGAAGCAAGAATCAGAGCTATGGTAATAAATAAGAAGCAACTGGATACGAAAGATTTAGAAAAAAGACGAAAACCGTTGCAAAAGCTTGATGAAGAAAATGAAAGAAAGAAGAGGAAACAAAAACAGAGGTAGGTATTTAAAAAAAACTATAAAATGATACTATGTCTAGTTTTTCATTATTACAGGTTGAAAGAAGGTGAAAATATTTTTCACGATACAGTTGCAAGCTTATTTCCCGATGTACTAAAAGAAAAACCAATCCCACCTCCAGACCCTTACACAACAAAATATCTCACTAAAGAAAAACAAAAGTGCTTTGAAAATTTCGAGGACCTAGCCGAAGATGCAGATGACTTTATTTCAACCAATCCATATCTATACGATTTCAGTTATAAGAATTTACTTGTAGGTAAGAAAAGCTCTATTATGTTTTCAACCAAATATCTTTGTTTTCAACAAACAATAAATATTCAGCTATTTATCTAAAATATTGAGTTTAATGTCGCTTTGATCAGTAAATGATTGGAAATCATCAAGTCATTGTCAGAATTATTTATTGCAGAAACAGAAATTTACTTAAAATCATTTTTGCTTATTAAATTATTGTGCATTCATTATTATGTTAATAAACATTTCTCTCTTTACGTTTCATAACTTATTTTTCAAAACAATAAAAAGTTATTTAAATTTTTAGGAAATAAACAAAAGTTTCAACAAGATTTGAACAATATACACAAGGAACGTTACGATAGAGAAAAACAATTTAGAGTTGGTGCAAGTCTTTTACATACCCAAGACAAAAGCGGTGGAAGCAAAACGTTTCTGAAAGAGAAAGGAGGCATAGAAGAGCTTGAGAATCTAGAAGATGATGTTGAAATAGCTGTTGAAGACTATAATTAGACTTTAACATTTGTTAGACATCAAAATTTATGAAAATTATGTTCTTTAAAAAATAAGTTTTTTGGTAATTAATGATATATGTTAATTTCTAATATATACTTTCTTAAAAATATGAAAAAATTAACTTATTTTGTGTGTGAATTAGGGTTTTCAAACCGGGATCCTGAAAATCTCAAAAAATGTAAGTGCCCAATCTAAAATAATTCGAATTCATACACTAGTTTTTTAAAGATGATATTTTATTTATACTAAGCAAAATGTCAGTATCTAAAAGTTATATGTTAACACGTAAAGGAGGGCGTCATTACGTGATTGTTGGGTGCAATAACATCCAATAAATCAACTTTCCCAGACATTCAAGTCTCCCGAAACACAACATTTTCTGGCTTCACAACTTCTCATACCGATTTGATCAGAAGCAAAAATGGATTCAAACAGCTCGATAAAACATGTGAGTAAACAAAGTGCCCATTACATAATCAAAAAATTAAATAGGCATATACTATGGGCTGTGCTATGGGTGAATAAATTATAATTTGCTATATTAATGGTAGGTTATGTTATCTGTGATGGTAGGTATATTTGTTTTAATCAACTAGTGGCTTAAATTTTTTGAAGTGAAACTTCTTTAAGCCGGGACCCCCTTAGGCCACACGCCACGCTATCCCACGTCGCAACACGTAGGTCCAAGTGGGCTGACGTGTTGCAACGTGGGAAAGAGTGTACACATGAGATCTGGGACAGACGATACACTTGTGATAGCGTGGGATGGCGTGGGATGGCGTGGGATGGCGTGACGTGACGTGGCGTGTTGCGTAGTGTGTACGCAATACATGAAATTAAATGAAAAAACATACGCACAAATCTTCATGACGTGGTGTAGCATGGCGTCGCGTGGCTAAAAGCGTGTTGGCTTATGGGGTCCCGGCATTACGCTCGCTAAATATCTACGTATTGACGCGACGTGTAGCAGTCCACGTGTTGATCAAAAATATTGATATTCTAATACAAATTTTGTGAAAGTGAATCAAATTATTTATTAATTTTTAATTTTATTACTTTCTAACACTTTTAGAGTAAATATACAGGGTTGTTCACCACATACGATACGGAGTATTGTAGCTAAAAGGCTAGATTTTTGCAAACTGTAAGTTTTGGATTCGTTGAAGAACAGAGTGTTCCAAATAAATAAAAAATATCAAAGTTGTATTTTTTTAAAATTAAACACCCTGTATATTATTACATTTTTAGTTTCTACGATTAAAATAAAAGTAAATTTGATTCGAGGGGTGTCTCACTATTGGAATTACCTGTACATTTTCTTGGCAGTCGCTGGCAGTCATTGGCAGTCTTATGGCAGTCGTCTATAATAATTACATGGCAGTCATAGGCAGTCTTCTTCATAGTCATTGGCAATCACTTAGCAGTGGAAGGATATTTTGGCAGTACGTGTACATTTTTTACCCGAGTGAGACACCCCTCGGTAATTACTCATTTGTTATAATGTTTTGTTTTCTTTTTTGTTTATAGATGAGCTCTTTTTGTAAGACACCTTGTATATTTTTTAAAATATCTGGTACAAAAGGCCATATTAATTTAGATTTAACAGAGAAAGCAATTTCTTTTTTGTTATAATATTTTTGTTTTCTTTTTTGTTTAGATATTAGTTCTTTTTTTGAGATACCCTGTATATTTTGTAAACTATATGATACAAAATGCCATATTAATTTAGATTTTTGTTTTATTTATTGAAGTTGTACATAAAAAGCAATAAAATAAAAGTATTAATTTCGAAATAAGTCAATGTCCCTATTTTCTTATGCCTCGATCCCGAGGGGTGTCTCACTATTGGAATTTCCTGTACATTCTCTTGACAGTCGCTGGCAGTCACTGGCAGTTTTATGGCAGTTGCCTATAATAATTACATGGCAGTCATAGGCAGTCTTCTTCATAGTCATTGGCAGTCGCTTAGCAGTGGAAAGATATTTTGGCAGTACGTGTACATTTTTTACCCGAGTGAGACACCCCTCGATTTGATTAAAGGTTTACCGCATTTTAAACTTATCGTTTTTGAAATATTTAGGTTTTCGCTCGGGTTTTCGTCAAAATACAGTAATAATTTTAATGCTTAATTCATTTCTCTAGGCGTATTTAAGTTTTTAAAACCAAATATTGTACTAAAGTATTTTTATTTACTAAATTTTGTGTTGCAATAATAAACATTATACTACCTTATATAGATTGTCTAAAAATTTATTTTAAACAAAAGTTTTTTTAATTTCACTCAAAATGAGTTATTTGGGTCATAAATGACCTAAATACAAAATATTTTCATGGTCTTCTGTCTGCCATTATGTTTTGTTCTGCCATCATTTCATGTTCTGTCTGCCCGTCTGTCCGTCTGTAACACGATAACTCAAAAACCGCTAAACCGATTTTAACGAAATTTGGCACAAAAATACTGTGGCACCCGAGAATCTGGCCATTAGTTTTTGGTGGGGGTGGGGGTTTGGTAAGGGGGTATGGGAGAGGGTTAAACATTTAAAAAAATCGTAACTCCAAAATTACAGTAGCGAAACGCGGTTTTCAATTTAAGATTAGGAATAATATTTGCAACAAAATTTGTAATAACATCAAAATCAGTCAAAGTCGCAGTTTTTGAGATAACTGAAAATAAAAGAACTGCCTACCAACTTTTTATTAACATATTTTAGTATGGGCGGCTATACGTGCCTCCCGGCGCAGCGCCAATTTTTTACCTATCTCTTCAAGTTTTTGTAGAAAATGCATTTTCTTATAATTTAGACCTCATTTATCCATAGAATATTGACGTTTTTTGGAATATGGACCATGGAATATTAACAGGGTATTCCATTTAAATTAAACAAGTTATTGCCGTTTAAAGCTAGAAATTATTCAAAGCTTCAAATTATTTATTTACTGTATACAAATGTATAAGAGTGAATCGCCATGGTAATCTAGTAAGCCGGAGAGAGCAAAAATACGAAGTATTTATTACATAACCACAAATTACCTATAACAGATGCGAAAGAACACCGAATTACGCGTTCAGGTTTCTGTGACCTTCAGAAAGAGTTCGTAAACAATCCGCATCAATGTATAGTTTGGGTTATTATTTGTTTGGGTGAAAATAATCTGCACCAATATGTTATCGAGGCATACAAAAAGGTCCACAGACTTCGAGACATACGAAAAATCAAGTCCATTTAGATTGTGTCGCATTTTTCACACCTTAAAAAATTAGTTTTTTATAGTTATAGCAACTGCAGCGACTATGAAAAAAGCTGTGTGATTTTCATAGAAAATAAGGGCACCTGTAATTCATTTGAGAATGTTATAAATCGCTAAAAGAGGTTTCAAATCTCTTGGATTTCTATTAATATTAAATAAATTTTATTAAAAATTGAACTAAAATTGTTAGTATCATTAAAAACAATTCAAATTCAAAAAATTGTATCAAATCAAATTCCCTCATTTAAGGTGAATATTAAAAGTAAATATAAATACAGCTCATTCTAAGCTCTACTTATCTTTAAAGGAAAATTTAAATCATTGTTGCAATTGGGCCTTAATGCCATTTCGAATGAACAATCATTAATAATGTACATTATAATAATAATAAATTTTATATCATAGTGTGTATTAAAACTACTAAAACACTTTTAAATTGATATTATATTAACAACTTTTGTTTTAATCCAAAAAAATTACCAATTTTCTCCAATCAAAATATTTGTGGGTCCTGAAAAGGACCTTCGTTTTCCCATCTTCGTCAAGGTAGGTAATGGGTAAACGGTAAAAAAACAGGATAATGAAATTTAAAAAATTACAAAAATTATTCAAAAGTGCCTCCCTCTTGCATTAAACAATAACCCAAACCATCATAAAATCCCCTCCTCACATTGGATAGCATATCAGGGGTGACAGTGTCAAAGGCATTAAATATTTTCTGCCTTAACTACTCCAAGTTTTGAATTTCTTCATGGCCGTAAATTTTAGATTTTATGTACCCCCATAAAAAGAAATCATTCACCGAGAAGTCAGGTGAAATTAAACGTAAGTTAAACAAAACTGTCATTTTTGAAAATTTGTCAAAATTTGGACACACGCTAAATGGACTTGATTTTCCTATGTCTCGAAGTCTGTGGACTTTTCTGTATAATCTCACAGTAATTTAATAGATTGCTCGTCATATTATATCAGCTCGTAGGAGATTAGGAAAAAAAAGATATTTATAGTATAAAAAATTAATTTGTTTAACAAAAATTTAATTAAAAAGATGTGACAAAATAGTTACATTTCTATTGGTTCTATCGGACTTTTTCGACTATATAAATCTTTATTTTTTGTAAACTTTAATGCACAAAATATTTTCAATCTAATAAATAATTTAATGATGTAAATAAGAGGAAATTTCTCACATGGGTGGTCAAATTCTATAGTTTTCATTATATCAAACAGCCTCTGAATGTTTTCTTCAGTGCCAAAACTCATCAAAATTTAATATAAATAATTTTCCAGCCTGTAAATAAAATGAACAAATTTTCCACTTTCATGATCAAAGGCTTTTAAATGGGTAAATAATTTCCGAGTTATCCAGAGATTCGGATTCTTTTTACAAATTTTAGACAAATATCACATTGATGTATTTGAGAGACCCTTTTAATGATGTAGTCAAACATAATTAAAAGGCATTTTGAGTTGAAAACATTTCTCAGAGGCTGTTTGATATAATGAAAACTATAAAATTTGACCACCCATGTGAAAATTTCCTCTTATTTACATCATTAAATAATTTATTAAGATTGAAAATATTGATGTATTAAAGTTTACAAATAAAATTTATATAGTCGAAAAAGTCGATAAACACAATAAAATGTAACTATTTTGTCACATTTTAAATTAAATTTTGTTAAATAAATAAATTTTTTATACTATAAATATCTTTTTTTTCCTTCTAAATAAACACATTTGCATCCCATTTTAAATAAGATATACAAATTACCAAAACTTAGAAATAACAGTTCAAACACTATGTCATTCCAGCAAGCGAATACGACACAGCATAGGTTTCCGGACTAAACGACTGGTGTATTTACATCACTCAATAGGCGTGTCGGGTTTGCCGAGCGGTTTTCGATGCAGTCGGTTTCTTTCGCATCTGTTATAGGTAATTTGTGACATAACCACTTAATCTGACGCTAGATTCCATGCGCTTGGGAAAATACTTGTCTTCTCTCTTTATTCAGTACATCTTATTTTGCTAAGCGTGTTGACCGTAATCGCGAAAATCGGCACCCAAGACCAGAAATGCCAGCCCTAGTATAACAAACTTTCTTATTTTATTTTATTTGGCTGTATGAACCCGCCATAACATATCGTCACCCTAGAATAAGATTGTTCTATAGACCATTTCGATGAAACTGTGAAAACAAGGTTTAAAGTTTAAACTGGATATCCGTGAACACTATATACCAAAATGGTTCTATTAAACATATAAATTGAAGGTAATAGAAAAACCTATCAAACATATGTATTTATTTTACTTTTAGAAGCTTTATTTAAAAGATATTAGTGATTTTAGATTTGGATATAGAACAAATGTGTCTATTAGCTGTGCATTGAGCCGATTTTAGGGATATAGAACAAAATAAGGGGATATAGAATAATATAATACTCATTTTAAGCTGATTTATTTGTATTTCAAAATATTATTTCAATACAAAATCACTGAAGTGGAGACATTAAGACATTAACTAAAGACAACATAAAAAATAAAAACCTAAAATACAATAGTAGTAATTATTCGTCTGCATTGTTTATTAAAAACTATAATTTTTTTCCGCCTATTTGTTTGGTATGTATAGTGTTTTTAATAACTTATTCAGATTTTAAATCTGATTTTTAACTTTCGTTGGATTATTTAAATGTCTTTTTAGCTATCTCTAGTATTGATAGTATTAGAGAACGATTTAGCAGTTATTTGAGTTGAAGCAGCTGGTTTCACAAAATTCCAAAGTGTGAAACATTCTAATTTGCTAACAAATCAGGCAATCAGTGCAGTACAAACTGTAGGATGTAGCCTTAAATACTGATTTTTGGATGTAGGCCATTATATGGTTTCGCGACTTCCAAATTAATATGGATATAGTACAAAATATTATATTTTTTTATTTGTGAATTTGGCTATATTGTTTTTATGGATATAGAACAAGCTAATTCTGCATAAAAAATGGTGTTTGTAACTCATTTTACCCGAAAAGTGGATATAGAACAACCTAATTCTAGGGTGACGATATATCAAATCTATGTATATTTTTTATCTGAAAAAATAAAAAAAAAGTTATAATGGTGAGTCACTTTCGAAAGACACCCGGTATGCTTCTCCTAAATATAATCACGAATTATCCCATTCCCAGTTTTTCCTGCAAATACCATCTTACTTAATTAATCCCATCAATTTTTCATATAAAACACGATCTGGGACACGAAAATATTTCAGTTAACCCGTATATAAATATACGATTGTACTGCCATCCGTCAGAAATCCCCACTCGACCAACAAACAAGCAGGCTGCGAAGAAATCAAACAAACGAGCAGCAGGACAGCCGCACTCTCCTCGCGAGTCGAGCGTGCCGAGAAACCGCGCCGTTGTTCAACTGTCACCGGTGCGCGTTTGTTTACGGATATCCGAGGCGATTTTCAAAAAGGAAACATCGAGTGACCCGAAAAACTAAACAAGTGAAATGATTTCGATGGGTTGAGTGAAAAAAGTACGCTGGTTTTGCCATGTCGATTTAAAGTTTCGTCTAACAAGGACTAACAAAAATAATAATTGATTCGAAAGTTTATTTGTGTGTATTGGTCGAATATTTGGATTAAAAATGGTGTTCTTTTATGTGGATTTTATTGTGGAAGTTATAGATACGTGTGTCATGGTATTGGAGAAATAAATTGTCGTTTAATGTCTGATCTTGGATTATATTAAGGGTAAGTAATATATATTTTTTAATAAATTAGAAGTTTTATCGATTATGTTGAAAATTAAGAAATTAGTGATTTGATAAAAATGAAACAAAATAAAGTCTAAACGAGAGAAGGGACCATTTTGATAGACATTTAAAAAATTAGAGAAAATATGGTCTACTTTTGATCTAAAACCACAGAGAATTACTGTTATTGTCATAAGTCATATTCTCTCGTTGGACAGTTTTAATGATATTAATGCTAGTAGATATAGGCTTGGTGCATTTCAGTTGATTTCAACAAATTCCGACCCCAGCGCTTCAACGGAAAAAATCAGAAATTATCAGTATGTATTTCACGCCACTGTTATGTTGATCGCAATTTTCGCAATGATCGCATTGATTGAAATAATATTGAAATCGTGGTTTTGTCATAATATTTAAGTATTTTAGTTTTTTTGCTAGTGCAGTTATTGAGATTATAAAACACTCAGGTACGAGGTTTGTGTGATGTAACGCTGTTTTGGGGTAGTAAAAAATAAATGAAAAAGAATTCGAACTAGGCGTCGCGGCGTGTTGTGTTATGACAATTTCAAATGTTAATAAAATCGCCTAAAAAGATTTTGATTTTTTTTTTGTTATTTATAACGGCCTACTAATAAGAAAATGTTATATTTTAAATATTGCAGTAAATAGCGAAAATAAATATTATAAAGTGATATATATTTTTGAGAAGCTGATTTCGGTTTTTGACAAAATCGACAGGTTGGTGCCGAGGAATTTTTTCGAAAAATTTTGGAAAATCGATTTTGCTTATTTCGTAATATGTTGTAGCGCTGAATGTGTACTTTATAAAAACGGTATCGTTTTTGAGAATCACACCTTTTGTTCCAGAGATATTTGGTGTTAAATGTTTCGAAAAACAGAAAAAAATATTTCTTTTGTAGATTTTCTCAAATAACTCGAAATCTGTTAGAGATATCGGAAATCGGTTTTTTAGGCAGTCAATTCTACATAAAATGAACTATCTGTGAGCATATTTTAGATGCGATCTGAGAGATTTATGTTTTTGGCAAAATCGACAGGGGGGTGCCGAGGAATTTTTTCGAAAAATTTTGGAAAGTCAATTTTGCTTATTTGGTAATATGTTGTAGCGCTGAATGTGTACTTTATAAAAACGGTATCGTTTTTGAGAATCACACCTTTTGTTCCAGAGATATTTGGTGTTAAATGTTTCGAAAAACGGAAAAGCAAGACAGATCATATGATTTATAAATATACAGGGTGTTCTATTTGAAAAAACACAACTTTAGTTCATATTTTCAAAAATATTTTTTTTTGTACAAAAACAGACTATGCCACTGTATTCTACGTAAAAAGTTCTACAATATACAGTTTTCACCTTCTTGATACCTTTAACAATAACAGAGATATAGGGAGTGCCAAATTTTCGGAAAGACCCAGTAGCTCAGAAACGATGAGGGCTACGAAAATTTTGTTTACAGCATCTTCCGTTTGACAAAAAAGTGGACAGGTTTGTGCAAACCGCATCATCATATCTTTATTAATAACGGAAATACCGTATGATTTCAACCAAAATGGGACACCCTATACAAATATATTCAGGTCTGGAAGATCTCGATAAAAAATAATATTTTCTCTATACCGTTTTTCAAATAAGTCCAAAATAACCGAGTTATTCAAGTTAAAAAATTTATTTTTTAAAAATTTTGAGCGCCACCGGATTTGTTCTGTATTTGCATCCATTTTAGTACCATAACGATTAAGCCCTAACCACGGCATATAAAACAACATGAAAACAACTATATGTCGTGCTCTAACTATTGTAATATCAGAGATAAAGATATACTGTGGAAAAAAACAGGCAGTTCTAAAAAGTTTTTTTTAAATCTAGAGGAAAATTTAAAAGGAAATACACGATTTTCAACATCTTTTTTTTGCAAAAAAACCTTATAGGTTTGTTCCTGGGGTCGAAATATACCATCTTTAAAAATATTCCAAAAATAAACAATATTTTATTGCCTAAAAATTGTCACTGAATTGGACACTACGTTCTCAAATGTAAAAAAAATCCTTGTAAACAAAATGAATACTCCTATATAAACGACTACCACTGCATACAGTGTGACAATGAGTTAACTTTTCACCCATTATTTATCACCCCTAGGTGTATGTTCTCTATGTAAATATTGACAAAAAGATAAACACTTAGTTAATATGTGACGATGGTAGAAACAAGACAACATATTTTGAGGTGACATCTGCTAGAAAAGAAGTAAAATCATTATTAATATAATTGAGGGTAAAACTAACTGATTCGTGTGAAAATAGTGTACATTTGATTAGAAAAATACTGTGCTAATTTCTAAATATCTCATTTCGGTCAATAAAGACCAAGAGAAGGATTGACGAAAGGGATAGAAACTATCCATTCAGGAATAACCTAAATCGGATTGCCCTGATATGGACCATAAAATTAATCAAGAAAAAGGAGAATATTATTAGTTAAACATACATAATAAAGATAAAAATAAAATGAAGAAGTGAAATAGATTTTAATGATAAAGATGAAATATATATATATGTTACTGTAAATGTCCGAAATGTGGTAAAACCTAGGATTTACCAAAAGCAAGTGGTAGTAAAAACCAACCAACCCCATCAAATAACCACCTAACCAATGCATTAACACCCCCCAAATAACCAGGCTAACCAATGCATTAACACCCTCGAAATAGCTAGGCTAACCTAATTAGTTAATGCTTTTGGTAAATCCTAGGTTTAGCGCGCTTATCCTAGGTTTTACGGCATTTCGGACATTTACAGTAACTTAATATATACTTTTTATGTTTGGATTTATATTCCCTGAAAAAAATTATTATAAAAAATAATCATTAAATTTAACTTATTAAAGTTAAATGCCAAAACAATTCTAGTTGGTTGTAATCTTCATATAATTTAATTTAATATGAAATCCTCCATAAAATCCAAAAAGAAATGGAAAATTAGCAAAGGTAAAAATTTGATTTTTCCAAAAATAGGTAGATAAATATCTATCATGGTAAAAAATAAAAAAAAACATTGAAAATTATAATAGGTAAATAAAATTTTCCTAGTAACAAGTTGCAATTAATAATAGCTCTTTTCAATATCGCGGAAAATAAGTCGGAGTGAGAGAAATGCGACCGACCGACGCGACGCGCAACGGTGTGCTGTTGCGGCGTTGCCGATACGCCTTTCCCTATCAAGTAAAGTAAAATCACGACCGCAAACCGCTTATTTTTAAAAGACTTTTTTTTCAGGAGACAACTAGATAAAATCATTAGGTTTGTAATGTTTGCTGCTATCGTTTCACTGTTCTGTGGAGGCGCGCGCTGTCAAGATCCTTGTTATATGTCAAGGCGCCTCTCTGCGTTTTAACCTCACTTCGTTTTTGACCGGTTTGCGGCACGGTTGCAAATCCTGCTTTTAGAAATGGCAATTTAAATCTTGCTGCAAAATCTGAATCAGCTGCCATTTCGAAGCTACAGGGTAGAGTTTTGGATTGACCCACCTTAACTCGAATTTGTATTTTGCTGACACGTTGGTGTACTTTTGCTGTTGTCCTCCAGAATGTTAAATGGAGAAAGGACAGTTCTTTATTATTGAGCCCTCGGAAGTGTTTCGAGGGTCTTATGGACGGCCTGTGTCCAACGTACGGGCATTATCCAAGGTCCTAGTAGTATCCAAGGTACGGGTAGTGTTCCCCTGTACCGTTATCTTATGGACGGACTGTGTCCAAGGTTATGGTCCAAGGTTATGGTCCATGTTACGGACATTATCCAAGGTCCTAGTAGTGTTCCAAGGTACGGGTAATGTCCCCATATTGCCACAGTATGGATACAGCGTAAGCCCCATGCTGCTTCGCTCCCATTTCTAAGCCTAGTCAGTAGCTACGGCTGTATTGATTCATGGTGTCCTCATTCTGGCCCCTTTTGTTGTTTTGGCCAACAGGATCGCCGACAGACAGTACAGAGATATGAGCCCACCTCACGCTGCTACTTTTTAAAACAGGATTGCCTCAAGAACAGCTAAGTGTAGATTTAGGTTCTGGTTTTCAGTCGATTTTCAGTCTTAACTTAACGTACATTTTAAATAATATCGTACAGACTATATTTAGTGGTTAGATTATTAAGAATATTTATGTCGATTTAGTTGTTACAATATGATTTAGATTTTAGGTTTCATTACATTACGCCTTGTAATAGTATTACTTTCTATAGATATTATTATTACGCTATATTAACAGATGAATAACCAGACATAGATTCCAGAATCTTCCAGAATCCAGATTTAACACCGCATAAAATTTTACAATTTAAATAAAGTAATGCTACCTTTCTTATATTTTCTATAACGTTACACGCATTGTATTTTTTCATAGTCTTTTCATAGAACATATTTAATATTATTTACATACATAGCTTTACTCGACATATAACTACTATAATAATTATTAAAATTGTACAATGCTATTTACCATCAGGATACATCATGAATGAATATAGTCACTAGTTTTAAGTAATAAACAACTGTGTTTTCTTTCGCTGTACATGTCTGGCGCCCAATATCTATATATTTTTTTTATTGTTATTGATTAGTTTTCTCTCTAGTGAAATACCCACGACTGCTCTCCGATGAAAAGCTGCCGTTCGCAGTGGTAATGTTTATAAAAAACGCTACAATGTGCACAGTTTCTCGGTTTATTTCATACGTTTGGCAACGTGTTTACTGTCCTCTCTCTGTTCAGTACATTATAAACGCCATTGTACTCTTCTTACATACGGAAATCTCGACCCAAGACTAACCTTTGCCAGCCCTTAGTATTAATATTATTTTTAGTAATCGTTGGTATATTTATTATTTTTATTATTAAATGTCTAAAAGAGGTGTATTTTGTGACTGGATCTCCTGGATTTGTATTTGTTTTTGCGTATAAAATCCAACATTAATTGTATAAGGGAA